ACCATTTTCATCTTCAGAATTAAGGATTATTTTAATGTTACATCATTGCCTTTTCTCTTTTACTTTCCTTTTTAGTTTTATTTTAGGATTCCCTATTTTTAATGTTCATACAGAGATTTCTTTAACTGAAATACCAAATAGTTTCTTTGGTGTGACAAACTATAATAGTACACAGGATCCTAATGAGATAATTAATAATGTGAAATAGGAAGTAAAGGGCTAAAGGTGTAGGGAAAGTGGGAAGGGTGGGGGAAAGGTAATAAGGGAGAGGAAAAAAATATGAGAAACTGAAAAAATGGAAATAAAGTGTTTGTAAATGGGGAGGGGAGGAGGGGGTGAAGGGAGGGCAGGGACAAGGGGAAAAAATGAGAATCAAGACCTATTATGTAAAGGTACAGGATCCCAATAATGAATGTAACTGTACTGTATACCTAGATTGTACCAATAAACTCAATAAAAAGAAAAAAAAATCTCTACCACTAGCCACATCCTCTTCCATCATGACTAACATCTCAAAAACTGACCTGGCCAGGCACAGGGCACATGCCTGTAATATGAGCTATTTGGGAGGCTGACATAGGAGGATCTTAAGTTTGGGCTTAGCATGGGGAACTGAGAGACTTAGCACGACCCTGTCTCAAAAGCAAAACATCTGAAGGACTCAGATGCAACTGCGGTGCAGCTCAGAGGAGGAGCACCTGCACAACATGCACAGGCTGAGGCTCCAAATCCAGCCACGGGAAGAGGAAATAAGAAGCCAGGGAGCATAGCCCATGTGGAGGCCCAGGGCGCAGGCCAGCACTCACAGTTCAGGATGATGTGGGCAGCGTGGTAGAGCTCCAGGTGACACAGGAGGTCTACCAGCTGCTGCACCGTGGCCTGCCGCATGCCCCACCACCACAGCAGCTCTCGAGTGATGCTCACACCCTGCACACGCTCCATGGACTTGATCTTCCGAAGTTGGGTCAGGTCCGTGATCACATACGAGGCTGGAAGGCAAGAGAGAGACGCTGAGGGGTGGACCTTCCCCGAGGGACCCACGACCCAGGCTTTGTCACTGGCCCTACCTGCCTCTTCCCATTTTATGTAAGTTCACATTTATGCATATATGCATTTATGGTACTAGGTTTGAACCTAGGGCCTTCACACTGAGATAAATCCCCAGCCCTTTTTGTTTTCATACAGGATCTCACTACAATCACTAAACGACCCAGGCTTGATTCGAACTTGCAATCGTCCTGCCTCAGTCTCCCAGAGCACCGGGATTATGGGAATGTGCCACCATGCCTGGCTCCACCTGAACCTTGCAGCACTCACTTTATTGAACACTCATCATGGGGACTGGCACATGGGCAAGTGAACATAAACATGGGTGCAAACCTCAGGTACAGGTATGTCTGCTAGGGACTGCATGTCACAGTGGGAGACTCCACGCAGATGGGACTCTGCTACCTCTCATCTAGGACCAGGTGGAAGCAGGCGAGCCCTCATGAGGAATAAGCAGACACAGGACTCAAGCCCAGCACCTCGAGGGACTATGACAAGGGTCTTGAGCAACCCTTGAGGCTAGGCACAGGAATGCTCGTCTGTGACCCCAGCTACTCAGAGACCAAGGATGGAGAATCACAAGTTCAAGGACAGCCTGAACAATTCTCCAAGACTCCAAGCAAAGTAAAATAAAGAGGAGAGGTAGCTCAGTAATACAGTGCTTGCCCAGCATGTGGGAGACCTGGTAGCATTGAAAGAGAGAGAGCTGCTGGATACAAAAGCAAATTGCCAACTCCAAAGTACAGGGAAATGTGAAGAAGCTACTGCTGACAAGAATAAAAACAATGCATTACTTCTATTCAGTTTTTACACAAAATCAATACAGTGGTATCTGGATTCACGAACTTCGTTCTTTCCACGATTCTGATCATAGAATTAAAAAATGCAAGCATATTTGGGCCAGGGACACAGCCCAGTAGTAGCATTATGAGCCTATGCAATTTAGTTGCAACCAGAATTATGGAACAAATTCTGTGACCAGAAGCATGGAAAGAATGAAGTTCATGAACCAAGGGACTACTGTGGTTGATTAAAGAAAGCACAGAAAATGCAGGAGAGAAAAAACCAACACAGCATCGCTTCACTCAGCCTGACCAAGTCTACTGGGGTACTTTTCCTTCCCATAATCCTTCCCTCTACACAAGTGTGGCTTTGGACACAGCTTTTTGCCAGACTATAAGACTTTGCATCCTGTTCTTACTGGTTAACTCTGCTACATGAGCTTTGTCTGAGGTGCTACAAGCTCCTCATAATGGTATTTTTGATGGTCACATATTATTCTACTGGATTTGATTCTACACTATTTCATGGACACAAAAGACACTTTTTATAAAACTAGCAATAAAACAGCTGGAGGGTAGGGCTGAGGGAGCCTGAGGCAGGCAGATCGCAAGTTCCAGCACAGCCTAGACAACTCAGCAACTTGCAAGAATCTGTCTCAAAATTAAAAATTAAAAAGGGCTGGAGGTTTGGTTCAGTGTGAAGGTCCTGGTTCAACCTAGCACTACAGAAAAATAAAACAGTTAGCTAGCTAGCTAGCTGATGTTCAGACAGATGGACAGACAGACAGATGTAGATGGATGAATGGATGGATATAAAATAGCCGAGTATGGTGGTGCAGGCCCATTCCAGCACTTGGGAGGCTGAGGCAAAGGACCACTGTCAATTCAAGTCCAGCCTGGGCTACACAGTGAGTTCAAAGCCAGCCTGCCTGTACTTCATAATGGGACCATGTCTCAACCAAAAAAAAAAAAAAGTCTCTTCAGTTTCAGGATGTCAGACCATGTGGAGTGAGACTCTGAGCAGGTCATTCATTCACTGGGTCAGGCACTGTTCACAGAGTGTCACTGAGTGACACAGCACACTGGGCCTGTGACAGCTCTAGTGACACCAAAGCATGGGGGAGCTCTGCAAAGCAGGACGAAGCCCAGGCTCTGCTAAGAACCACAGGGGATCTCCAGGCAGGCAGAGCCGTGCCAAATTACACAATCCTCTCCCCTCCAGGGAAGTGCCTGGCTAGATGGAAAGTTCCAGAGTTGCAGCCTCAGTCACTGGAAAGTCTAGGGGAGTCCCGGCCAGTCCCGGGAAGTGATGTCAGCCACACAGGAAACAGCAGCTGTAATAGGGCCAGGTGAGTTGGAATTATAGAGGTATGTTATATTTGGAATTAAATGGAAATTTTTATTATAAGCCAGCTGATTTAGAGTGGCTTATGTTAAAAAAGATTTTGGACAAAGGAAAGGCAGCTTGTAGGATTTTTTTAAGGGCACTTTTATTTGGGGAGGGCTCAGGGAAGGGGGAACACAAGCGATTTTATAGGGGCAGAACCTTGTTAAGCTAGTGGGGGTCAGGGAAGTTTTATACAGTTTAGTTAAAACAAAATATCACACAGGTGCCGGAGTCTTGTTTATAAAATAATAAAGATAACATAATTATAAACTCACACGAAATATAATGATCTATTGTATATTAACTAACCCTCCTCAAAAAACAGCCACTCTAAGTCACTCAACTTACACAAATAAAGTCAAATATACAAGTAAAGTCAAGTTGATGATCGCACAGCAGGACAAGGAAGGTGTCCCACCTGCCCCTTCCCAGCACACAGTCACCCGCCCAGGAGATGGGGCAGGTAACAGGAAGACAAGCCAGGTGCTGCACTGGTGGGAGGGAGCTCCGTGGGCTAAACTGCCCCTGCCGTCCAGGAGAAGCGGGCAGTGGACTCAGAGAAGCCCTGGAGGGGCACGTGGAAGTGACATGGCTGAAGTCGAAGGTCTGACCACCAGCCTCATCCACACCTTGACACAGGGTCAGGACAGAGACGGGGCTGAGTCATGTGCCCCCCCTCATCCAGGTAAGTAAGATTTGATCATGGCAGGGCATTTGGAAAACAAGAAAAATCAAAGTCCTCCTGTCCCAGGAAGACCCAAGAAGGGCACTGGAACCTTACCTTTCCAGGATTTTTCCTACAGATACAAAAGCAGGTGCTATTGCTGTAGTTTGGGTCTTGTTTGCTTGCTTGTTTGCCTGGGGACAGAGTCTCAGTATGTAGTTGGAGTAAGCTCCCTATATAGCCCAGTGGCCTTGAATCATGATCCTCCCACCTCAGTCTTGGGTGCTGAAATGACAGATGTGCACCATGCCCAGCTTACTTAAATAGTGAGTGTCCCCAGAGGCCCACATGCTAAAGGCCTGTCACTCATGGGGGGCAGTGTAGACAGAAGCAGAGCCTGGTGGAGGGTCTGCTCCCCACTGAGGACCTCCCTTGGAGGACACGGGAACCCTGGTGTGGCTCCCTCTGACTCTCTTTCTTCTTGGCACTGTGATGGGTACAGCTTTTCTCTACTACACTCCTGCCACAAGGTGTTGCCTCTCCATTGGCCCAAGGTCACAGGGTCAGTTGACCAAGGACTGAGGCCTCACAAACCATGAGCCATGGTGTCCTTCTCTCTTTTTTGGTACCGGGAATCAAACTCAGGACCTTGCGCTTTCGAAGCAGGCAGTGGAACCACTGAGCTAAATCTCTGGCCCAGTGCCCTTCTCTTTTAATAAACTATAATCGCTGGTATCCACTCCAGGACTGGAAAGCTGCCTCACACAGTAAGCCAGCAGGACAGGATAGGGGTGGTTCAGACGCCAAACCAGGGACTTCTGAGACCTAGTTTTAAATCCTATCTCAGCTGCTTACTTGCCATGCATTTAAGAAGGCCTTTCACTGCTGTTTGAGCCACAGTTTCCTCATCTGCCAAACAAGGACAGAAGCACCCACTTCAGAGGTGGCCTTGAGGATCAGGTGAGGGTGCAAGCAGCTGGAAGATAAAAGTCATCTGCAAGTGTGTGATGCCCTGGGACTCTCACATGGAGACTACCGCTGCAGCACTCCTCCGGGTTCACCCTGGCCACTCTGGCTTCCAGAGCAGAGGACACTGAAATGCCGCTGAAATACCCCTTCTCCAGGATAGGGGGTCCTCCTCATGCAGGAAAAGGGGAATCCTCAGGACCTCTACAGCATTTCTGGAAGCCTCCCACCACCCCTGAGGGAGGCACCACAGGGGAGGAAAAGGCAGGCCCAGAGGGTGGTTCCAACCTGAGTTCACACAGCCAGGCATCAATGTACAAGGACAGCACACGAGAGCCAGAAGTGACCGGAGGGGAACCTCACACATGATGTCACGCCCTGTGAGATGTCTGGGCAGCCTGGGCTAGAGACCCCAAGATCCTCCCCAAGCCCAGGCCTGTGACAGCCATAGACCTCAGGAAATAACCACGAGGCAGCCGGACGATCTGCCAAGCGCCAAATCCAATGGATGGTGTATGAAGATTTGTGTCTGGAGACGTTTTGAATCACTTTCGATTCTTCCCACACCCTCTCTCTTGGACCACAACCTGCTCAGAGGGACCATCTTTCTCATGGCAGCCAAAAGTTTTAGGACTAAAGGACATTCCTACACTCTCACTGGCTCAGCATCAGGGCCCAGTGAAGGCAAAAGGCAAGGCCTGGCTGCATGGAAGACTTGGCCCAAGGAGGACAGCATATGGCCAGGGTTCTGCACAGCCCTGCGGGTAGGAACACACACAGCACCAGGAAGAGACAGGAGTGGTGGACTCAGGTGTGAAGACACAGGTCAGCAGCAGACGTGAAGGTAGAGGGAAGGGCCAAGGGCCAGGGGATGGCCTGTAGAACCGTGAGACACCACTCTGTGTGGTGACAACAGCAGCAAAAGGAACCTGAGCGACACAGCCCAGAGAGCCAGCACAGGGAGACTGGGGAACAAGTGCAAAGGCCCAGTATCCTGACCAAAGAGGCTGGTGAGGACACCGAGGAGGTCAGGTGACAGGGCTGGCAGGCCCGGCATGTAGCGGGCAGCCTGCAATACCCTCTGAGCACCGGACCACCTGGTGTCTGGTGTCTGCAAACTAGGAAGTGTCCTCTGAAAAGGAC